CCCACCTCTATAATTTTGCTGAGAAAATGGTACGGATGCCTTGCATTGAAGGCGGGAGAGAGGCAGTTTATTGAAGAGCAGACCCAGACAGAATGGTGGCTCTGGGAAAGCTGACTACACGAAGCTGGCCAGAACGGTCGTAAAATGGGGCAAAAGCCATTAGCGACGGTCTCACTTAGCAATGGAAATGTTGGGGTTCAGTTGCGGTGGGATGTTGAGGACTACCTGCATTGGTCCTGTGACCATGGAGGTGTTGTAATGGTCGCAAGTGTGAGGACCAGTTGTTGAGTCACATTTTCCAGTGCTGTTGTAAACTTCAAACAGTCTCGAAATGAATGGTTGTAAGGCCAGGGTAGGGTTTCTTGCCTGAGCATGGGGTTGGACTAGATGACCTCCAAGGTCCCTTCCAACTTTATTGTTATTATTATTGTTGTTGTTGTTAATTATTAATTATTATTATTGCTATAGCCCAGTAACACTTTAGTGCAGTGTTTCTCAACTCTGGCAACTTGAAGAGGTCTGGACTACAGTTCCCAGAATTCCCCAGCCAGCATAGCTGGCTGGGGAATTCTGGGAACTGTAGTCCAGACCTCTTCAAGTTGTCAGAGTTGAGAAACACTGCTTTAACGATTGCTCTTTTGAGCTGTGACACCTTTCCCTACCGCTTGTACAGCCCCTTCACACCCCAGGGCCTCCTGAGACCTACACCTTTCCTCCCAGCCCCCAAATGTCCCCTTCCCCCATCCCCAACGCCCACCCCCCAACCCCCACCCTCCTGGCTTTGCTGGTTTGTGCCTGATGCAGACTCCAGTTCTTCTTATTTTTCAAGTAGATGAGCGATTCCTTGGCCTTCCTTTGTCAAACTTCGGGCCATATATTGTATTCCGACAATTAACAAAACAAACTCGGGGGCCGCTGGGGTCTGTTTGTGATTATTTGCTGAACAATTTCCCCCAGCCTGGCGCAGGGGCGTTCTCTCTCCAGCCTGTGGCCGGATGCCAAGCCTTCCATCCAGTTTCCAGAAGTTCTCGCCTTCCAGAAGGAGCTCCTGACTCCGGGCAGGGCGCCTCCGAGCCGAACGTCCCTCCTCTCCCACCGAGCATGTAGGGCGCCACCCTGTCCTCCAGCTTGTCCCAAAGGTGACTCACCAGCGTGGGAACGCTTCTGGATGGCAATGCTCAGAAACAGGAACAGGCCAGTGCCTGAAGCTCTAACAGCCCCCCAAGCTTTGCCCCCCCTCCCCAAGAATGCAAGAGCCCTCTGCCCTTCCGCTCTCCCCGAGCAGGGGGTTGGACTAGAAGACCTCCAAGGCCCCTTCCAACTCTGTTATCCTATCCTATCCTATTTCTGTTCTACTCTACAATCTGTTTATTCTACAATCTGTCTTTCCTATCCTATCCTATCCTATCCTTTTCTATTTCTATTCTACAATCTGTTTATTCTAAAATCTGTCTTTCCTTTCCTTTCCTATCCTATCCTATCCTATCCTATCCTATCCTATCCTATCCTATCCTATCCTATCCTATTTGTATTCTACAATCTGTATATCCTATCCTATCCTATCCTATCCTATCCTATCCTATCCTATCCTATCCTATCCTACAATCTGTTTAGTCTATTCTAGAATCTGTTTATTCTATTCTATTCTATTCTATTCTATTCTACAATCTGTTTATTCTGTTCTATTCTACATTTTTTATTCTACAATCTGTCTATATTATCCTATCCTATCCTAGTCTAGTCTACAATTTGTTTATTCTACAATCTATCCCATCCCATCCCATCCCATCCCATCCCATCCCATCCCATCCCATCCTATCCTATCCTATCCTATCCTATCCTATCCTATCCTATCGACAGTTCCATCTCTAACTATCACAAGATGGTCTGCCTCAAAAGCTGCTGAACCAAAAAGAAATCTTGAGATTAAGTCGCATAGTTGCGGCTGTCACTTTGACTATATTTTTTTTTTAATCACACTGCGGACACTCCTGTTTTACGGCAGAGTTCCGCAACTTTAGAAAGGTGTTAGCCTTTACAAAACCACCAGGCTCCCAAAATTTTGGCTGCCACTGTCCAACAAGACCGACCCTCATTTTAACGCCACAAAGGCGTCGGCTGCTTTGCATCCAGGTAGCCCTCCACTTACGACCACCCCTGAGCACCAAATGTCCGTTGTTAAGCGAAACATTGGTTAAGTGACATTTGTCTTCTTTCGTCACCTTTCCTGACTCCGTTGTTAAGGGAATCGCTGCTGTTGTTAAGTCCGCAACACGGTCAAAAGCCAAGCTTTCCCCCTTGGCTTTCCTGATAAAAAGGTTGCAAAAGTTGATCCCCTGCGCCCGGGGCTGCAACCGTCATAAATACGAGTCAGTTGCCAAGCATTCGAATGTTGGTCCCGTGACCGTGGGGGAATGCTGTGACGGTCGTTAAATGTGAAAAAATGGTCCTAGGTCACTTTTTTCAGTCACGTTGTAACTTTGGTTGTTAAATGGACTGTTGGGAAGGGGAGTGAGCTGGGACACAGGTCAGCCCCCCCCCTTGCACCCACCCCCCAGGATCAGCAGAGAGATCCTTAGAGTCATGCAGAGTGAAGTTCTGCGGTCTCTGTTTGCACACACGAATGCCTAATTACGTCGTCCTTTGCCTGCCAAACAAAGAGTGTGTGGTGCTACTGTGGTCTCCTCAAAAAGAAGGGTATTCTGGGTGGTGGTGGATCCTCCTGTGATCTCCAGCCTGTTTGAGGCCACCCCCGGCGGCCGCTCCTCGCCTAATTAAACCCCTATGGAATTCTCGGCTAAATTAAATCCTCAATTCTGCCACCAGGAAACAGAAGATAATCCTTTGCAGAGCTCAAAACATCCCTTCTCTGCTTTCAATTTCAAGCAGAATAAAGCTGGAAGGGACCTTGGAGGTCTTCTAGTCCAGCCCCCTACTCAGGCAGGAGACCCTATACCAGGGGTAGGAAACCTTGGCTGTTTTATGACTGGTGGACTTCTCCCAGAATTCCTGAGCCAGCGTGGCTCAGCTTGGAAACCTCTCCCTTTCCCCTCAGCGTGGCTGGCTCAGGAATTCTGGGAGTTAAAGTCTACGAGTCATAAAAGAGTCAAGGTTGCCTAGCCCTGCCCAAATGCCTGGATTTTGATCACGTGACCGTGAGGAAAAAATATTTAAATATTTAAACCAGGGATCTTCAAACTTGCCCCCTCATGACTCATGGACTTCAACTCCCAGAATTCCTGAGCCAGCATGGCTTAGCTTGGAAACCTCTCCCTTTCCCCCTCAGCATGGCTGCCTCAGGAATTCTGGGAGTTGAAGTCCAGAGTCATAAAAGAGTCAAGGTTGCCTACCCCTGCCCTACACCATTTCAGACAAATAGCTGTCCAGTCTCTTCTTAAAAACCTCCAGTGATGGAGCACTCACAACTTCTTAAGGCAAAGCTGTTCCATTGGTGAATTGTCCTCACTTTTAGAAGTTTCTCCTTAATTCCAGGTTGCTTCTCTCCTTGATTAATTTGCATCCACTGCTCCTTGTCTTGCTTTCTGGTGCTTTGGAAAATAAGTTGACCCCTCTTCTTTGGGGCAGCCCCTCAAATACTGGAACACTGTTATCATGTCAGCCCTAGTCCTTCTTTTCTCTAGACTAGCTTAGTTCCTTCTTCTTTCTCCCAAACACTAGAGGTCATTTGTGGGCAGAAAAGCTGCCTATAGGGGTAAGTCCTCGACTAACAACAATAATTCAGCCTGTCCTTACGGTCATTAAGTGGCTCAAGAAGTGTGGTGGCTCACAAGATTAGGACACTTGTCTGATAATCAGCAGATCTGCGTTTGAGAGCCGGTTGAGGGATGGGGCGAGCTCCTGTCACACATTCCAGCTCCTGCCGGCCCAGAAGTTTGAAAAGGGGTGACAGCGAGTAGGTAAATGGGTACCACTTTGTTGGGCAACCTGACGGGGATGTGAAAGGAGGCCCCAGTTGGTCATCCCTCGTGCAATGGTGATGTCACAGTTCGATCTTTTCAACCTGGAAGTGCTTTGGTGTTCCCGACACAACTCTAGTACTGTGTTTCCCTGAAAATAAGACTTAACCGGGAAAAGAAGGCCTAGCATGATTTTTCAAGATGCTTGTAATATAAGCCCCACCCCAAAAATAAGCCCCAGTTAAGATCATCAGCCACACCAGGGGTAGGCAACCTTGTCTCTTTTATGACTCGTGGACTTCAACTCCCAGAATTCCTGAGCCAACCATGCTGAGGGGAAAGGGAGAGGTTTCCAAGCTGAGCCATGCTGGCTCAGGAATTCTGGGAGTTGAAGTCCATAAGTCATAAAAGAGCCAAGGCTGCCTACCCCTGAGCCAGATGGATACGTTTAGTACCTTATTTTCCAGAAGATAAGCCTTAACTGGAAAATAAGCCCTTTTGGAGCAAAAATTAATTTTTTGCTCTTATATTCGGGGAAACACGGGGTAGTAGTAGCACTGGGTCATGTGACTGCCCAATCTGACCACCTTTTTTGCTGCAATTGTGAAAGGAACATGAGGGTCATAAGGCAAATACCACAGTCGTTAAGCAAATCCATTGTAAGCTACGGGGTGGGGATGAGGGTTATTGCTGGAAATTGGAAGTAAATGCAAAAACATTGTAGGTAAGTGACATGACGTCAGGGCACTGCAAATAACCCTAAACGTGGGACATTTTCCCTGGTGCCCAAAATGGAGTCACACGACTGGGAGGAACATGGTGATTGAAACTTTAAATCTGAGTCACGAGTCCCTTTGAGGAGGGTGTTGTAACTTTGAGCAGTTGCTAAGCGACGGGTCATAAGTCAAGGGTTACCTATATGCAGTGAGATATAAAAAGCCGAGTTTCCCGTTTGTAAGGGGAGATTTTTGGTCACGGATTCCAAACTAACCCTCTCCACATTTAGCAGATCCCATCTTCTCGATCATTGATCAGAGGAATCTCCACAGGGGAGGGGCCTACATGAAATCTAGCTTGTACTGATTGTACTACATGGAGGAATTTTATTGCAGCAGGGATAAATAAAAGGCAATCAAGCTTTGCTCTTCAGTGGCATCTGAAGGTCTCCGTCCGCTTGGTCCACATTCACGTTCTCAAGGGGCTTCTGGATTTGAAAATAAAGCTCATCGTCAAAGCAGAATTGGTCAGGAGGCTGGGCTAAGAAGGGGAGTTTTAAAAGCAAGCCCGTGAGATAGCCTCCTACGAGGGACACAACGACCGAGAGGCCGAGGCCTACAGCTTGAAAAAGAGCCTGTTCTGAAGTGCTCCTTCCCAGCCTTTCTCCAATGAAGGTGGTCTCCACGGTGGCATTTTGCAACGGTGGACTCCGCGCGGGGAAGACATGGTAAAGCTGGTGTCCGTAGGCTTCATCTGGGACTATCAAAATGGCCACGATCCCAGCTAGGGCTCCAAGGATGCCTGGAAGACCATGAAGGTTGTGGATCCCACACTGGTCTTGAAGATGGACTTTGTTGGCCAAGAACGGGGTCATATATTTGAAGCCAAGGATGCAGACTAGAGATGACAGGATCCCCAAGAGAAATGCCCCACCTGGACCGATGGCCATGTCGGCTACTGTTCCGATGGCCACCCCTCCAGCCAAGGTGGCGTTCTGTAGGTGGCCCATGCTGATTTTGCCCTTCTTCTCCAGAAGGCTGGAGATAGCAAACGTGGTCAAGACGCTAGCGCTGAGCGTAATCCAGGTGTGTAGCACGGCCCTATGTTGGGCATCACCTGGATGGACAAGAACAGAAACAAAACTGGGCCAGAAGACCCAAAGGAATATGGCGCCCACCAAGGACAGAAGATCAGAGATGTAAGAGGGAGTGTCCTTGGGGTGTCTCGTCTGGAGTCCTGACCGGTACAAAGCTAGGGAGGCCCCCAGACCAAAGTAGCAAGAAAAGACATGGACGGTGACAGTTCCTCCAATGTCCACTGCTTGGAAGTAGCTTATAATTAGCCACTCACAAGCTACGTAGAGGGGCACCTCAAAGAAGCCCATGAGGAGAAGCTGGATGGGACTGGTTCGGCCCAAGATGGCCCCTGCAGAGATGAGGACAGTCACAGTGGCAAACTCCGCAGTCAGAAGGTTGTAGAGGCCTAGATGGATCTTTCCATCGTGGTAATGATAGATGAACCCCTGCACGATCAGAGCCCACTGCACAGAGAAGTTGGACAACAGGAAGTTGTAGGCCACAGCACTGACCCCGTAGCCTTTCATAAACGCCAGAAGCAAACCGAGGCCAACCAACAACATCAACTGGATGTCTTGGAAGAGAGAGAACAAGACATAGAGCTGGTTATCAGCTGGGTCAACGTCAGCAGGCTGGCGGGCAGCATCCGTGTGCCGGTCGTATGTTGTGAAGAGCACAAAGATGAAGAGGAGGGCACCTTGAAAGACAAAGAGCAAGACGGGCAACCGGCAACGGAGGCTGGTGGAGAAGAGTTTGGACATGTTCCACTCAGCAGGTCCGAGACGAACCTGTGAAAAAGCAACAAGAAGACGCAAAAATATTAACAATTTTGAGAAGGCTATTGCAAAGGTCTTCCAACTTGTGGTCGACTCTGGACTTTTCAAACATCCACCAGACTCAACCTTGCAAAGCCGAGGGATTTCTGCAAGTAGTACAGGAGGTCCTCGACTTCAAACAGTTCATTTAGGGACTGTTTGAAGGTACTATGGCACTGAAAAAAGTAACCTATGACCAGTTACTTACGACTATTGCAGCATCCTCATGATCACCTGATCAAAATTTTGACACTTGGCAACTGGCATGTACTTATGACGGTTGCAGTGTCCCAGGGTCACGTGATCCCCTTTTGCGACCTTCTGACAAGCAAAGTCAATGGGGAATCCAGATTCACTTAACAACCATGTCAAATCAACCTTTATTGTCAAAGTGCAATATGTGTACAATGAGATTGGCTGAGCCTCTGCTAAATTAACCAGATTCCCTTAACAACTGTGGCAAGAAAGGTCGCAAAACGAGGCAAAATTCACTTAACGAATGTCTCGCTGAATAAATGTCTCGCTTAGCAACAAAATTTGGGGCTCCGTTGTGATCGTAAGTCGAGGACTACCTGTACCCCCCCCCCCAGCTCAGAGTTTCTCACTCGAGGTGTGGACTTCAACTCCAAGAATTCTTCAGCCAGCCATGCTGTCAGGCTGTAAAATTGATGGCAGGAGAACTGTACTTTCAAAACCATGAGATTCTGTTAATGTAGCTTTACAGTAAAATAGAATTAGCTTATTTGGCTGGGTTTAGTGTCCGATGCATCTGGTAAGGCTGACAGTAGCAGAAAATAAAAAGAGGTCATTTCTGGCGTGCAGAATTGTCCTTTCTGCTTGTATAATGACACTTACATGAGGCACTTAATCTCCGACGTTAAACATTAACCAAAGATTGAATCCACTTGTAGGGAAAAATTTAACTTGTTTCTTGAGCAAGCTTCAGAAAATTGCAGAGATGCCTTTTTGGACCAACTATCAAAAATGTCACAATATGCGGCAATAAAACTGTCCTCCACATTCCTCACTGTATTGGTCCAAAGATATGGACTTTAGCCAGATTTCATGACGGCAATTTCTGAATAAATAAAGCTTTTAACCACAGGTTGTTGAGCCCTAATCAAACAAAGGTAAAGGCGATTTTCGGTATTGTTTGCCATCGATATATTAGCTGATCTTGCTGAATCTTTTTTTTTTTTAAAAAAAAAGAAGTTAGAACGTTCAATTACATAGAAAAATGAAATCTGGTAGGAAACCATAAATACACCCATTCAGGGTAAACCACAGTCGCTATCAAGACAGGGTATATTTGTTTGAGAAGCACAAGGCAGTTTTTTAAAAAATTATTTATTTTTATCCCACCTGTATTGTTTTTATAAATAAGCTGGAGAACATACCTTATGCCCCTTCTTCGTTCTATTTTCCCCACAACAGTAACCTTGTGAGGTAGTGAGATTAGGCTGAGAAAGTGATCGGCCCCAAGTCACCCAGCCGGCTTTCATGCCTAAAGTGGGACTAGAACTCACCATCTCCTGGTTGAATGGCCCAAAGTCACCCAGGTAGCTTTCATGCCTAAAGTGAGACTAGAACTCACTGTCTCCTGGTTGAATGGCCCAAAGTCACCCAGCTGTCTTTCATGCCTAAAGTGGGACTAGAACTCACCGTCTCCTGATTGAATGGCCCAAAGTCACCCAGCTGGCTTTCATGCCTAAAGTGGGACTAGAACTCACCATCTCCTGGTTGAATGGCCCAAAGTCACCCAGCTGGCTTTTATGCCTAAAGTGGTACTAGAACTCACCGTCTCCTGGTTGAATGGCCCAAAGTCACCCAGCTGGGTTTCATGCCCAAAGCAGGACTAGAACTCACAAACTCCTGGCGATTGGGCCAAAGTCACCAAACTGTGATGCCTAAGGCAAGTCTAGAACTCACAGTCTCCAGGTGATTGATCCAAAGTCACTCAGCCAGCTTTCACATTTAAGGAGGGACTAGGACTCATATTCTCCTTTTTCCTAGCCTGGTACCTTAACCAGTTGACCAAATTGTCTCTCTCCTACAGAGAGGATGCCCTCTCCTTTATTAGACATGGTTCAACTGGAGAGTATCAAAAACTGAGAAGAACCCTTGGAGATCTTCTAATCCTCAGTCAACCTTGACCGACGGCCGTGCAAATTTAGACATCCCTCTCTAAACTTTCCACCTGTCCACTTTTGTCCTAATCTTGGATGCTAGAAGGCTAGGAAGAATCCATCCATGTTACACATACTTTTCTTTGAAAATCTGGATTCACGCATTCATACATTTAGCCTTCAAGTTAAGGTCACCTAACCATAACCGACCAGATTTTACAATTTTATTGTAATTGGCAATCTTCAACAAAAGATTGCTGGCAATCTTCAACAAAACCATTGTAAAAATGGGCAGATGACCTTGGGATGCCATAAACGGCTGTAAAGTATAGGTTTACCATACACCGCTTAGAGATGTAATAAATAAACAAATAAATAAACAAACCAATAAATAACTGCAGCCATTTTGCTGAGTGTTCAAAGTGAAGTCACATGACCATGGGTGGGATGGGGGGGGGGACTCTCAGAACCTCTGATTCAGGTGTCTTAAATCCCCTTTTTCAGGCAGGTTGGATCTTCCAACGGTTGCTAAGCCACTGGTCGTAAGCCGAAGACTACTTGTCCGTGGGTTTCAAAACTCCCCCGCCCCACCGTCTCTTTCTGCTCTTTGTTCTCATTGCTGATGTTTTAGAGTTTAACAACCACAGCTGGGGAATATATATATATATATATATATATATATATATATATATATATATATATATATATATATATATATATATACTGTATATTTGAGCCAGCGAGACAAATAAGATTGCCCTGCCCAATGCAGGCAGTCCAGATGTGACAAAGATGGCTGCTTTTTTTTTTTTAAGTTAAACCAAACCACAGAGTTGTAGTCAGGACCCCATAGATGGAGTTTGGAAATGTTTAACTTCTCTGAGCTCTTTCTTTCCATATTATTCCTTCCTTTCGTATGACTTTAGGGAAGTGAACCATAGTAGCTATCACCTTCATCATCATCATGGGATTCCTAGAGGGGCTCCATATCTGTAAGGCCCCTCTAGGGCTTTGACTCTATGCCTCATCATACAAGCCAACTGATGGGGAGATTAGTTAAGCCTAAACCAGGCAACTTGAAGACTGGTGGACTTCAGTTCCCAGAATTCCTCAGCCAGCTATACCAAGTTTGGAAACTCTTAGCCCAGGGGTGGGGAGCCTTGGCTCTTTTATGACTTGTGGACTTCAACTCCCAGAATTCCTGAGCCAACATGGCTCAGTTTGGAAATCTCTTCCTTTCCCCTCAGCGTGGATGGCTCAGGAATTCTGGGAATTGAAGTCCACAACTCATGAAGCCCTCAGGGACCCTTTGGGGCTAACCCTACTTCTTTTTGCTTCCAATGGCATCCAATACAACTCACAACCATTCAGTTAGCAACTGTTCGAAGTTACAACGGCACTAAGAAAAAAGGGACTTAAAACCAGTACTCACATTTATGACCGTGATAGCATCTCCATGGTCATGTGATCAAAATTTGGGCGCTTGGCAACAGGCATGTAATGGTGGCATCCCAGGGTCATGTGATTGCCCTTCACCACTTTCTCAGCCAGCTTCCGACCACCAACATCAAGCTGTATTCGTTTAACGACCGCGTGATTCACTTAGCGGCAGTGATTTCCTTAACAACCGTGGCAAATAGGTTTACAATTGGGCATGGCTCACTGAACAATGGCTTTGTTTAATGACAGAAATTGCAGTCATAAGTCGAGGACTATCTATACAACATATTTGCCCGATAGTCGTGTTTATTTGTAAAATTGATTGGCCCCTTCTCTTATCCAGGGTAAACGGTGGGCGTCTTACAATCATAACTAACCTGAATCTTGACCCACTCAAATAAAGCCACAGTGTGTATTACACAATGTTGTGTATCTATGGAGATTCTCAGTCATCCAGGTATGGTTTTTTTCCTCAGGAGGCAACTGGATTTTCTTGTTTTTCTTTTTTATTTTTCGCTTCTCATCCAAGAAGCTTCTTCAGCTCTGACTGGATGGTGGGGAGCAAGCAATATAAGTCCTTCCAGTAACTGTGAGAGGGATCTTGGAGTTTTAGTGGACAATCAGTTAAATATGAGTCAACAGTGTGCAGCAGGAGCCAAAAAAAAAACCCCAACACAATCCTAAATTGCATTAACAGGGATTCACTCAAGATCAAGTGAGGTACTAATACCACTCTATAAAGCAGTGGTTCTCAACCTGTGGGTCGGGACCCCATTTGGGATCGAACGACCATTTCACGGGGGTCGCCAAACAAAGCAGTCCGCCATTTTTTCCCCCTTTTCCTTAGCTGTGCTACTCCCTTTTATTCTATTGGTTTTTGAAAGCCAATAAAATAGACTCTCTTGAATAGAGTCTAATTCTATTGGCTTTCAAAAGCCAATAGGAATTGTCCAGGCTGTCTCTGCCCTGCTGAGCCTACCAAAAGTCCCATTCTGCAAACAGTGCTGCACCAGTTGAGTAGTCCTCGACTTACGACCGGTTGAGTAGTCCTCGACATACGACCGGCTGGGGATTGCGGCATTAAAAAGGTTGAGAACCACTGCTATAAAGCCTTAGTAAGGCCACACCTAGAATACTGCAATCAATTTTGGTCTATCTTCCTGGGCTCCAAGATCACCACAGATGGGCACTGCAGCCAAAAAATTAAAAGACACTTGCTCCTGGGGAGGAAAGCTATGGCAAATCTAGACAGCATACTAAAAAGCAGAGACATCACCCTGCCAACAAAGGTGTGTATAGTCAAGGCCATGGTTTTCCAAGTTGCAATGAATGGCTGTGAAAGTTGGACCATAAGAAAGGCTGAGCACCAAAGAATGGAGGCCTTTGAACTCTGGTGCTGGAGAAGACTCCTGCGAGTCCCCTGGTCTGCAAGGCGATCCAACCGGTCAGTCCTAGAGGAGATCAACCCCAACTGCTCTTTAGAAGGCCAGATCCTGAAGTTGAAACTCAAGCACTTTGGCCACCTAATGAGAAGGAAGGACTCACTGGAGAAGAGCCTAATGCTGGGAAAGATGGAGGGCAAGAGAAAAAGGGAACGACAGAGAATGAGATGGCTGGATGGAGTCACTGAAGCAGCAGGCGTGAGCTTCAATGGACTCCAGAAGATGGTAGAGGACAGGAAGACCTGGAGGAACATTGTCCATGGGGTCATGATGGGTCGGACACGACTTGGCAACTAACAACAACGACACGCTACAGAAAAGATGTCGAGACTCTAGAAAAAGTACAGAGAAGAGCAACAAAGATGATCGGGGGATGGAGACTAAAATATATGAAGAACGGTTACAGGAACTGGGCATGGCTAGTCTAGTGAAGAGAAGGACCAGGGGGGACATGATAGCAGTCTTCCAATATTTGCGGGGCTGTCCCAGAGGGGAGGGGGTTAACCTATTCTCCAAAGCACCTGAAGGCCAGACAAGGAATAAAGGATGGAAACTGATCAAGGAGAGACTCAACCTGAAAATAAGGAGAGATTTTCTGACAGTGAGAACAATCGACCAATGCAACAGATTGCTTTCAGAAGTTGTGGGAGCTTCATCACTGGAGGCTTTCAAGAAGAGGCTGGACTGTCACTTGTTAGAAATGGTGTAGGGTCTCCTGCTTGGGCAAGGGGTTGGACTAGATGACCTCCAAAGTTCTATTCTATTCTATTCTATTCTATTCTATTCTATTCTATTCTATTCTATTCTATTCTATTCTATTCTATTCTATTCTACAATCTGTTTTCTATTCTATTCTACTCTATTCTATTCTATTCTATTCTATTCTATTCTATTCTATTCTATTCTATTCTATTCTACATTCTGTTTTCTATTCTATTCTGTTCTATTCTACAATCTGTTTTCTATTCTATTCTATTCTATTCTATTCTATTCTATTCTATTCTATTCTATTCTATTCTATTCTATTCTATTCTACAATCTGTTTTCTATTCTATTCTATTCTATTCTACATTCTGTTTTCTATTCTATTCTGTTCTATTCTACAATTTGTTTTCTATTCTATTCTATTCTATTCTACAATCTGTTTTCTATTCTATTCTATTCTATTCTACAATCTGTTTTCTATTCTATTCTATTCTATTCTACAATCTGTTTTCTATTCTATTCTACAATCTGTTTTCTATTCTACTCTACTCTATTCTATTCTATTCCATTCTATTCTATTCTATTCTACATTCTGTTTTCTATTCTATTCTGTTCTATTCTACAATCTGTTTTCTATTCTATTCTATTCTATTCTATTCTATTCTACAATTCTATTCTATTCTATTCTATTCTATTCTACAATCTGTTTTCTATTCTATTCTATTCTACAATCTGTTTTCTATTCTATTCTACAATCTGTTTTCTATTCTATTCTATTCTATTCTATTCTATTCTACAATCTGTTTTCTATTCTATTCTATTCTATTCTACAATCTGTTTTCTATTCTACAATCTGTTTTCTATTCTATTCTATTCTACATTCTGTTTTCTATTCTATTCTGTTCTATTCTACAATCTGTTTTCTATTCTATTCTATTCTATTCTATTCTATTCTATTCTATTCTATTCTATTCTATTCTATTCTACAATCTGTTTTCTATTCTACTCTACTATTCTATTCTATTCTATTCCATTCTATTCTATTCTATTCTACATTCTGTTTTCTATTCTATTCTGTTCTATTCTACAATCTGTTTTTCTATTCTATTCTATTCTATTCTATTCTATTCTATTCTATTCTATTCTATTCTATTCTATTCTACAATCTGTTTTCTATTCTATTCTATTCTACAATCTGTTTTCTATTCTATTCTACAATCTGTTTTCTATTCTATTCTATTCTATTCTATTCTATTCTACAATCTGTTTTCTATTCTATTCTATTCTATTCTACAATCTGTTTTCTATTCTACAATCTGTTTTCTATTTTATTCTATTCTATTCTACATTCTGTTTTCTATTCTATTCTGTTCTATTCTACAATCTGTTTTCTATTCTATTCTATTCTATTCTACAATCTGTTTTCTATTCTATTCTATTCTATTCTACAATCTGTTTTCTATTCTATTCTACAATCTGTTTTCTATTCTACTCTACTCTATTCTATTCTATTCCATTCTATTCTATTCTATTCTACATTCTGTTTTCTATTCTATTCTGTTCTATTCTACAATCTGTTTTCTATTCTATTCTATTCTATTCTATTCTATTCTATTCTATTCTACAATCTGTTTTCTATTCTATTCTATTCTACAATCTGTTTTCTATTCTATTCTACAATCTGTTTTCTATTCTACTCTATTCTATTCTATTTTATTCTATTCTATTCTATTCTATTCTACATTCTGTTTTCTATTCTATTCTGTTCTATTCTACATTCTGTTTTCTATTCTATTCTGTTCTATTCTACAATCTGTTTTCTATTCTATTCTATTCTATTCTACAATCTGTTTTCTATTCTATTCTATTCTATTCTACAATCTGTTTTCTATTCTATTCTACAATCTGTTTTCTATCTACTCTACTCTATTCTATTCTATTCTATTCCATTCTATTCTATTCTATTCTACATTCTGTTTTCTATTCTATTCTGTTCTATTCTACAATCTGTTTTCTATTCTATTCTATTCTATTCTATTCTATTCTATTCTATTCTATTCTATTCTATTCTACAATCTGTTTTCTATTCTATTCTATTCTACAATCTGTTTTCTATTCTATTCTACAATCTGTTTTCTATTCTACTCTATTCTATTCTACTCTATTCTATTCTATTCTATTCTATTCTATTCTATTCTATTCTATTCTATTCTATTCTATTCTATTCTATTCTATTGGTTCCTGAATGGTCCTAACGCCTTCGAAGAAAAACAAGAAACTCCAATTGCATACTTTACACCGGGGTGAGGAACAATGGCCCCTTTACGACTTGTGGACTTCAACTCCCAGAATTCCCGAGCATAGCTGGCTCAGGAATTCTGGGAGTTGAAGTCCACAAGTCATAAAGGGGCCATCGATTCTCACCCCTGCTTTACATAAATGCTCACCCTTCCGGACTCAGTGGATTTCAGCTACTCCTTACAGTTGCGCCCTCTTCGCCAATTACAAATTCCTCGGTGTAGTGCAGTAGTGTTACTCCAGTAGTCGTTGTGTGTCCTTTGGAGTCACTTGGGTGCTGTTGCAGGAAAAGGAAGTCAGAAGTTAGTACTCCGAAAAAACTCTAACTTGATTTTTTATAAGGCAAGGAAGGTATTTATTTCATATGGACCTGAGTTCCGCTATGGGGTTAGTAAAACTGTCTGTCCACCTTTGACAATGCCCCACCATTCAAAGGAGTTAGGAAATGCATCTTGCCGATGTCCCACTTCTTTTATAGGTTGCAATCCAGAAGGAGATCCTTGGGCCTGGGTTGGAGTTAAATTGTAACTTTTATTGATTATTGCAACGCAACCCACAAAGCCAACCCTAACCCTGAGAACATTTCCCAGTGACCTATCCCCACAGTAACAATCTTCTCTGATTTTCTTTTTTTCAAGGCACGTATGAGATGGTTTCCATCTGGAAGCTAAAACATATAAAGAACGGTTGCTGAAATTGGGTAGGTCTAGGCCAGGGATAGGCAACCTTGGCTCTTTTATGACTCGTGGACTTCAACTCCCAGAATTCCTGAGCCAGCATGGCTCAGCTTTGAAACCTCTCCCTTTCCCCTCAGCATGGCTGGCTCAGGAATTCTGGGAGTTGAAGTCCACGAGTCATAAAAGAGCCAAGGTTGCCTACCCCTGGTCTAGAGGCTAATGAAAAGAAGGACCAGGGGTGATGTGATAGCACTGTTCCAATCTCTCAGGGGCTGCCCCCAAAAAGAGGGAGTCAAGCTATCCTCCAAAGCACCTGAAAGCAGGACAAGAAGCAACGGATGGAAAGTCATCAAGGAGAGAGAAGCAACCTGGAACTGAGGAGAAATTTCCAGCCAGTGAGAACAATTGCAGGTGGTTTACTTACAATAGTTCATGTAGTAACTATTTGAAGTTACAATGGCACTAAAAAAAGGGACTTACGACCATTTTTTACACTTATGACCCTCCATGATCACGTGATCAAAATTCAGACGTTTGGCAACTGACTCATCTTTGCGACTGTTGCAGTATCCCGGGGTCACATAATCCCCTTTGGTGACCTTCTGATAAGCAAAATTATTTGGGAAGCCAGATTCATTTAACAACCCTATTACTCACTTAACAACCCCAGCGATTCATTTAACAACCATGGCAAGAAAAGTCGTAAAATGGGGCAAAATTCACTTAACAACTGTCTCCTGTAGCAACAGAATTTTTAGGGTCTTGAGTCAAGGACAGCCTGCAATTAGTGGAACCGCTTGCCTCCAGAAGTTGTGGGTGTTCCATCACATGGACAGCCACTTGTCTGAAATGCTATAGGGTGTGAGCAGGGGGTTGGGCTAGAAGACCTCCAAGGTCCCTTCCAATTCTGGTGATTATGGATTCTTTAGATGTGAAGGAGCCTTCCTTTAGAGAAACTCTTAAATTCTCTTAAAGGAGCATTTCAAAAGGCCTCTGTCAGGGCAGTGGCATGAAAAAGGCCCATCCAGATGGTCACCAGCATCTTTGTTGCGCATTAAAGGAGCCAGATGTTCTTTTGCTGCTTCTGCTTTGGCAGTTACACTAATTTCCATGGGGGCATTTCTTAAAGAGGTGGCCTCTTTCTTGAAGCCTCTAATAAATAGGGCAGATGTGCTGCATTCAGCGTGGGTCAGAATGATGACTTCCAGAGAAAATCTGGAGTGTGTGGAGCTATCATCACTACCGTTATCCTATAATAACAACAGCAACAACAATAATAATTCTATTCTATTCTATTCTATTCTATTCTATTCTATTCTATTCTATTCTATTCTATTCTATTCTATTCTATTCTATTCTGTTCTGTTCTATTCTATTCTATATTCTCTTCTCTTCTATTCCATTCTATATTCTATATTCTATATTCTATATTCTATATTCTATATTCTCTTCTCTTCTCTTCTCTTCTCTTCTCTTCTCTTCTCTTCTCTTCTCTTCTCTTCTCTTCTCTGTTCCAGGGGTGTCAAACTCACAATGTCACGTGACATGTTACGACGTATCACGACTTTTTCCTCATTGCCAGAGCTGGGGTGTGCCTGGTTTTGGCATGACGTATCCGGTCTGCAGGCCGGCAGTTTGACACCCCTGTTCTGTTCTATTGTAATAATAGAGTTGGAAGGGAACTTGGAGGTCTTCTAGTCCAACCCCCTGCTCAGGCAGGAAACCCTATAACATTTCAGATAAAATCCTTAGTTATAGATATGCAGAGAACAAACCTTAATTTTTTCCTGGAGGAATCTGTAACAGGTTGTCACCCCAATTTTGATCTCCTGTTTGCCATAAAGGCTGCTGGGGGTATCCTCCCTCGACTGTAAAGGAGACGGCAGTCAAAATATATACCATAGACAGTCCTCGAGTTACAACCACCATTGAGACCAACATTGATGTTGCTAAGCGAGATGGTTGTTAAGTGAGTTTTGCCTCATTTTACAACTTTTCTTGCCACAGTGGTTAAGTGAATCACTGCAGTTATGTTAGTAACATGGTTGTTAAGCGAATCTGGCTTCCCCATTGACTTTGCTTCTCAGAAGGTTGCAAAAGGCGATCATGGGACTTGGGACAGTGCGACTGTCATAAATATGAGTCTCAGTTGCCAAGCATCTGAATTGTGATCACGTGATGATGGGGATGCTGCAACAGACGTGAAGTGTGAAAAACGGTCCTAATTCGTCTTTTTTTTCAGTGCTGTTGTAATTTGGAGCCGTCACTAAATGAACTGCATACGTCTAAGCCAGGGGTAGGCAACCTTGGCTCTTTTATGACTTGTAGACTTCAACTCCCAGAATTCCTGAGCCAGCCATGCTGAGGGGAAAGGGAGAGGTTTCCAAGCTGAGTCATAAGCACAATAAAATCCCTTCAAGGGAAAAGGGAGAGCTGAGCCATGCTGGCTCAGGAATTCTGGGAGTTGAAGTCCATGAGTCATGAGGGGACCATAGTTCCCCCATGCTGGCTCAGGAATTCTGGGAGTTGAAGTCCACGAGTCATGAGGGGACCATAGTTCCCCCATGCTGGCTCAGGAATTCTGGGAGTTGAAGTCCACAACTAAGCTATTCTCCAAAGCACCTGAAGGCAGGACAAGAAGCAATGGGTGGAAACTAATCAAGGAGAGAAGCAACCTAGAACTAAGGAGAAACGTCCTGACAGTGAGAACAATTAATCAGTGGAACAACCTGCCTCCAGAAGCAGTAAATGCTCCAACACTGGAAGTTTTTACGAAGAGACTGGACAGCCATTTGTCCGAAATGGTGTAGGGTTTCCTGCCCGAGCAGGGGGTTGGACTAGATGACCTCCAAGGTCCCTTCCAACTTTACTATTATTATTATTATTATTATTATTATTATTATTATTATTATTATTATTATTATAAGAGAGCCAAGGTTGCCTAGCCCTGCCTAAATGACTGAATTTTGATCACGTGATCGTGAGGAAAAAATATTTAAATATTTAAACCAGGGGTCTTCAAATTTGGCTCTTTTATGACTCGTGGACTTCAACTCCCAGAATTCCTGAGCCAGCCTCACTGAGGGAAAAGGGAGAGGTTTCCAAGAATTCCTGAGCCAGCCATGCTGAGGGGAAAGGGAGAGGTTTCCAAGCTGAGCCAGGCTGGTTCAAGAATTCTGGGAGTTGAAGTCCACGAGTCATAAAAGAGCCAAGATTGCCAACCTCTGGTCTAAGTGCTATTGCTATTGCTATTTTAAGCACTTGGAGGGAAACCTTGAGTGAAAATCCTAGGGCTGAACCAGTGGTGGGATTCAAATACGTGAACAACCGGTTCTCTGTGTGGATGCCACTTCTGGAAGTCGGTTCTGGGCCTGGGCAACCAAAAATTAGCTACCAAACCGGTGTGAATTGGCTGAATCCCACCCCTGGGCTGAATGCTCGAATGGAAAGAAATGACAGGAAAAAAAATCCTGAAAATGCTGAACTTTTTCCATCAGTGCCCAGAAAGCTCCACCTACAGAACTAGAGCTGAGCTTGACTCAGAGAGACGTTACCTTAATTGCTGATCGGGCATAAAGGGGACATTGAGATGACCCAAATAAAATGCCTTGTCATGATTCTCTATCAGGCAGGGCTTGCAAGAGGACAAAGTCCCACCTGCCTTTTGAAGACTGGTGACCTAATCAGAAAAAGGAAGACTATTGAATGACAGGGGGGAAGTGAACTCCTAAGCCAATTTTTCCTGGCCTCTCCAGGACGTTTCTCCTCCAAATATTAACCAGCCCTGACCCTGATTACTTGTTCAAATTCAGACCAGGTTTTCTGCGTGTCTCCCGAAAACCTGGGCTGAATTACAACCATTCGTTTAGTAACCGTTCAAAGTTGCAACGGCACTCAAAAAGAAAATGACTTACAAGCGTTGCTTGCACTTAACAGCCTTCACAGTATCCCCACGGATCATCGGATCAAAATTTGGCCATTTGGCCAGCAGTATCTGTTTTCTTGCAGCATCTTGGGGGTCACGTGATCTCCACTTGCAACTTTCCCAGCTGGCTTCTAACAAGCAAAGTCACTGGGGGAAGCCGGATTCATTTAACAACCATGTAATTCACCTAACTGGTTGACTCAGCCTTCCATCCTTCCGAGGTTGGTTAAATGAGGACCCAGATTGTTGGGGGGCAGATTGTTGGGGGGACTTTGTAAGCCGCTTAGAGAGGGCTGGAAAGCACTGTGAGGAGGTATATAAGTCTAAGGGCTATTGCATTTACTAACTGTAGTGATTCACTTAACTGTGGAAAAAATGACCTTGGAAGGATGGAAGACTGAGTCAACCTTGAGCCCATCAGGACTGAACTCTTGGTAATAGAATGGAGAGTTAGCCTGCATACTGCATTCTGATAGATAGATAGATAGATAGATAGATAGATAGATAGATAGATAGATAGATAGTTAGATAGATAGATAGATAGATAGATAGATAGATAGATAGATAGATAGATATAGGATAGGATAGATAGATTGATACATAGATAGAGATAGGATAGGATAGGATAGGATAGGATAGGATAGGATAGGATAGGGTAGATAGATAGATAGATAGATATAGGATAGGATAGGATAGATAGATTGATACATAGATAGAGATAGGATAGGATAGGATAGATAGATAAATAGATAGGAAAGATAGAAAGAGATAGATAGATAGATAGATAGATAGATAGATAGATAGATAGGATAGATAGATAGATAGATAGATAGATTGATACATAGAGATAGGATAGATTGATAATAGATAGATAAATAGATAGATAGATGATAGATATAGATGGATGATAGATAGATAGATAGGATAGATAGATAGATAGAGATAGGATAGGATAGGATAGATAGATAAATAGATAGGAAAGATAGAAAGAGATAGATAGATAGATAGATAGATAGATAGATAGATAGATAGATAGATAGATAGATAGATAGATAGATAGATATAGGATAGGTAGGATAGGATAGATAGATTGATACATAGATAGAGATAGGATAGATTGATAATAGATAGATAAATAGATAGATAGATGATAGATATAGATGGATGATAGATAGATAGATAGATAGATAGATAGATAGATAGATAGATAGGATAGATAGATAGATAGATAGATAGATAGATAGGTAAGATGGATAGATGATAGCAATAGCACTTAGACTTATATACCGCTTCACAATGCTTTACAACCCTCTCTAAGTGTTTTACAGAGTCAGCCTGTTGCCCCCAACAATCTGGGTCCTCATTTTTACCAACCTTGGAAGGATGGAAGGCTGAATCAATCTTCAGCTGGCCAGGATCGAACTGCTGGCAGTCGGCAGAGTTAGCCTGCAATGCTGCATTAAAACCACTGCACCACCACAGCTCATCAACCCCCACCGTTAATCTTGCACAACATCTTTCTGGGGAATACGAACACAAGTTTATATAATTAATTCCACCTTTCCTAAAGCCCAGTCCCCCCCCCCCGCATTTGACATTTAATTAGCATTTATCGTTACAGAGAAAGCCCCACATTTTGCGAATGCGAGTGTTCAACGTCCCAGCTCAAAATCGGTGAACAAAGACAAATTCTTTTATAGAGTTTATAATCTATAATATTGATTGGTAATCTTTTAAACCTTTTATAGATAGCAGTTCCCTCCTTTGAGGAAGGCCTTTGCCCAGTGGTGGGATTGAAATACCTGAACAACTGGTTCTCTTATGGCTAGAACAGAGTTTTGGAAGTGGCTGGTTAGAAGAAATATTAGGTGAACATGTTGATTTTAAACCTGAACTTTTTTTTACTAGGTATAATGCCTGAAAAGATTAATAAGCAGAGTTTATTCTTAATTTTACACATCACTACAGCAGCGAGAATAATCTTCGCACAATACTGGAAGAACGAAGAATTGCCATCAGAAGAAGAAATAATTAGGAAAATATTGGAATGTGCAGAGATGAACAGATTAACTATGAGATTGAAAGATAAAGAAGACACGGACTACTACCAAATTTGGGGTCTATTTTATTGTTGGGTTAGAGCAGTGGTTCTCAACCTGTGGGTCAGGACCCCATTTGGGGTCGAACGACCATTTCACAGGGGTCGCCAAACAACGCAGTCCGCCATTTTTTTCCCCTTTTCCTCAGCTGTGCTACTCCCTTTTATTCTATTGGCTTTTGAAAGCCAATAGAATAGACTCTCTTGAATAGAGTCTAATTCTATTGGCTTTCAAAAGCCAATAGGAATTGTCCAGGCTGTCTCTGCCCTGATGAGCCCGCCAAAAGTCCCATTCTGCAAACGGTGCTGCACCAGTTGAGTAAGTCCTCGACTTACGACCGGTTGAGTAGTCCTCGACTTACAACCGGTTGGGGGTCGCAGCATTAAAAAGGTTGAGAACCACTGGGTTAGAGGAAAGAATGAAGGATTAGGAACTGAATATGTATTAGCATAACTAATCCCAGACAAACTCGTTGATTGAAAAATTAACATATGTATACAAAAGAAAATCAATAAAATCTTTATTTAAAAAAAAGAGTTTCGGAAGTGGCATCCACGTACTTCCGGCGGGCCGTTCTAGGCCTGGGAGGCCTCCTCCAGACGTCTGAGGCCTAGAATGGACATCTGGAAGTGGCATCCATGCACTTCCGGCGGACCATTCTAGGCCTGGGAGGCCTCCTGCAGGCCACTGAGGCCTAGACTGGACTTCTGGAAGTGGCATCCATGCACTTCTGGCAGACCATTCTAGGCCTGGGAGGCCGCCGAGGCCTAGACTGGACTTCTGGAAGCAGTGTGCATTCAGTCAGTTCTCCGAACTCAGCAAAATTTAGCTATCGGTTCTGCCGAACCAGTGCGAACCAGCTGAATCTCACCACTGTCTTTGCTCAATGATTGACAGCTGGTTTGCATTGCTTCTGTATTCCCAGCTATTCATAAAATTGGCTTGGAATTCAGACCTGCACAGCTCAACTTGCAGCCTAATTTTGACATTTATTGCAATGTAAACACATGTTTAAGTTGCACAAGTTTTGACCTGTCTTCCTCTCTTTCTCACCCTTATCATACAAAGAGCACCTCGTAGCCCAATGCTTTCAACATGGTGGTGTTTATGTGTTTGTTTTTATTTATTTGGGAGGTTTATCTTAAGCAAAGGCCTCTGGACAGCCATCTGTTTTACAATAGCCAGAGGCATGGTGATGTTATTGCAAACAAATGGACAGGGTACTGCTTTTCTTTTTGTGATAGTTGGCAACATTGCATGCCTGCTGCATGAATTTTAAAGCACATTCTCCCCTCTCTTTATAGATTTAGACCTTTTTTTAAAAAAAATAATACAACCTTTATTATTTTTTATAAATAACTCAAGGCAGAGAGCATGCCTCATTCCACCTGCGATTTTCCCCACAACAATCCTGTGAGGTCATTTGGGATGAGAGAAAGGGATTGGTCCAAAGCCACCTAGCTGGTTTTCATGCCTAAGGCAAGATTAGAACTCACCATCTTCTGGTGATTGGCCCAAAGTCACCCAGTTGGCTTTCATGCCTAAGGCAGTGGACTCATTGTCTCCTGGTGATTCGCCAAAGTCACCCAACCAGCTTTCACACCTAAGGCAAAACTAGAACTCACCGTCTCCTGGTGATTGGCCCAAAGTCACCCAGCCAGCTTTCATGTCTAAGGCGGGACTAGAACTCATGTCTCCTGGTGATTGGCCCAAAGTCACCCAACCCAGCTTTCATATCTAAGGCAGGACTAGAACTCACCGTCTTCTGGTGATTGGCCCAAAGTCACCCAACTTGCTTTCATGCCTAAGGCAAAACTAGAACTCACCGTCTCCTGGTGGTTGGCCCAAAGTCACCCAACTCAGCTTTCATGTCTAAGGCGGGACTAGAACTCACCGTCTCCTGGTGATTGACCCAAAATCACCCAGCCAGCTTTCATGCCTAAGGCAAAACTAGAACTCACCGTCTCCTGGTGATTGGTCCAAAGTCACCCAGCCGCTTTCATGCCTAAGGCGGGACTAGAACTCACCGTCTCCTGCTTTCTAGTCTGATGCCTTAAAGACTACCCAACTCTCTTTCTGCTTCCCAACCCACCACTCATGATGCATACATACCAAATACACCCTTCAGAACCTCTTGCTTTAAAATGCCAACGGTGGCAGCTATGCTTTACGTACCTTCTACTCCACTGGAGTGTTTTTCTACCTATCCTATTAAGTCAGGTAAAACAAGTTTCTGCCAGCTTCTGGCTGGATTTCAGAAACCATCCTTGTATCTGGAATGCGCCTTCAGTATTGTCAACCCAGTGGGGAGAGGCAAGAATAATGTTCTCCCCTCCTTCTAATTCAAATACAAATGTCCATATTTTCTGCTTTATAAAAGGACGGCAGTTCTTAACTGAAGCACGGTGCTATTTCCCAGTGCAGCTGGCTGATATTTCTAAAACAACGTTTTTCAAGAAACTTTAAGCTGTAGGGGCTGCAATTCCCAGAAGTCCCCAGCCAGCAAATATGGACTTCAATTCCCAGAATGTGATTCTCCAAAGCACCAGAGGGAAGGATGAGAAACAACAGATGGAAACTGATCAAGGAGAGAAGCAACCTGGAATTAAGGAAAAACTTCCTGACAGTGAGGACAATTAATCAGTAGAACAGTTTTGCCTCCAGAAATCGTGGCCGCTCCATCACTGGAGGTTTTTAAGAAGAGACTAGAGCAGGGGTGTCAAACTCAATTTTATTGAGGGCCGCATCAGCATTGTGGTTGCCCTCGGAGGTGTATGCGTGGCCAGGATGGGTGCGGCCAGAGTGGGTGTGGCCTATTGGGTGGGCATGGCCAGCTCTACATCGTTCGCTTCAAGAGTGCCTGTGGGGGCCTGGGCAGGAGTGGAAAAGATCTGAGGGTCTCTGGCAGAAGGGGGGAGGGGACCAGGGCAAGCGCCAAGGCATGGTCCACTGGAGGAGCCTCACTGCCTGCTGAAACCCCTCCGTCGGAGCCCATCAAGCCAGATATGTGAAGTAGGCGAGGGCCATTTGCTGGCCACTTCCAGGCGATGGTGCATTTCTTCATTCCTCACAAAGGGTGACCCCTCCCCAGCATGCACCCAGGGGGCGGGGCCAACACAGCAGGGGCTGGTTCCTCGCTGTTTCCAGACGGCCTTGTGGAGCTAAGACTGAGTGCATTTCAGCATAGATGGCCACCACAAAATTGTACATTGGCTCCTGGCTGGCCTGGGTCAGGGCCAAGGCAGCGGGGGCCGTTCCCTTACTGTTTCCAGGATGGCTTCGCAGGCCACATGAAACCACTTCACGGGCCACATCTGGCCCCCGGGTCTTGTGTTTGACATTTCTGGGCTAGAGATATTCACCTGTCTGAGAGGACATAGGTTCTCCTGCTTGAGCAGGGGGCTGGACTAGAAGACCTCCAAATTCCCTTCCAGCTCTGTTCTATTCTAATCCACCTTGCAGGGAAATTGGACGAGTGAATAGATTTCCCCTTTGTTCCGGTTGAAAAAGCAGGATGCAAATCCGAGTCCAACAGCCGTAGACATATACTTCAATGCAATAACCAGCATCTTATTCCTATTGTTTACCCAGACCTCGGGTTTTTTTGACAGTGGCGCTAGGCAGGAAGGGACCTCATTCACATCAATGGACTCACAACTCCTTGAAACCCAGCAGGGCCTTTTCATGTGGCTGTCATAACACCTCGCACACCTTGGCTGCTCTTGAAACAATTCCTGGGGGGGAGAAGGTTGGGGGGAGCAGGAATCAGACCTGGTCAGGATTCGGAGACAGAGACCGTGAGAAAAATCTCAGGGCTGCAGGCTAGACTGGGAAGTTGAAAGGCCATCCGGGAAGAAAGAAAGAAAGCAAGCAAGCGCTCTCTCTCTCTCTACTCTTGCCAAGAAAACCCTAGGGACATCTTCCTGCAGTCTGCAGCCGCCGAGAGGAGAGAGACATGAGTTTGTTTGTTTTTTTATAGACGCCACCAGTGCATGCCGAAAAATGGCTTTGGCACGTTCGTGTCTCCCTGGAGGGTCCAGCTCAGGGCTGCCTGGGCCCTTTCCAGAACGCGTTTTTCCAAAAAGCCAAATCTAGCCTCATGTTTTTCCAAAAAGCAACATCTAGCATTGCATTCCCCCCCCCCAAAAGCTAAATCTAGCATTGTGTTTTTCAAAAAAGCCAACTCTAGCATCGTGCTTTTCCCCACAAGCAACATCTAACATTGTTTTTCCAAAAAATCCAATCTAGCATTGTTCTTTTTCCTAAAAGCAACATCTAGCATCGTGTTCCTCCAAAAAGCCAACTCCTAGTGTGCTTTTCCAAAGAGTCCAATCTAGCACCGTGCTTTTCTCCAAAAGCAACATCTAGCATTGTGTTCCTCCAAAAAGCCAAATCTAGCACTATGTTTTTCCAAAATGCAACATTGCATTTTTTCCAAAAAGCTAAATCTAGCATTGTGTTTTTCAAAAAAGCCAAATCTAGCACCGTGCTTTTCTCCAAAAGCAACATCTAGCATTGTGTTCCTCCAAAAAACCAAATCTAGCACTATGTTTTTCCAAAATGCAACATCTAGCATTGCATTTTTTCCAAAAAGCCAAATCTAGCATCGTGCTTTCCCCCAAAGCAACATCTAACATTGTCTTTTTCCAAAAAATCCAATCTAGCATTGTGCTTTTTTCCCAAAAAGCAACATCTAGCATCGTGTTCCTCCAAAAAGCCAAATCTAGCGCTGTTTTTCCAAAACGCAACATCTAGCATTGCATTTTTTCCAAAAAGCTAAATCTAACATTGTATCTTTCCAAAAAGCTAAATCTAACATTGTATCTTTCCCAAAAAAATCCAATCTAGCATCGTGCTTTCCTCCAAAAAGCAACATCTAACATCGTGTTCCTCCAAAAAGTCAAATCTAGCATGTTCCTGCAAAAAGCCAAATCTTGCGTGCTTTTCCAAATAGCCAAATCTAGCATCGTGCTTTCCCCAAAAAGCAACATCTAGTATCGTATTCTTCCAAAAAGCAATATCTAATGTTGTGTTTTTTGGGGAAAAAAATTCCAATCTAGCATCGTGCTTTTTCCAAATGCCCAAATATATCGCCCAGTAGAGCAAAGGAAGCATCCTCACGACACAAAAGAAATGATGAAGCTTAGGCTGAATCATGAACGCCCTAGCTTGCAGGTCTGTTACTGCCTCTCTCAACCTGCTGATCCCCTCCCAACAGGGAGAATCATAGAATGTAGACCCATAGGGCTCAAAGAGACCGTGGAGGTCTTCTAGTCCAACCCCCTGCTCAAGACAGCAGACCCTACCATCCCAGTCAAATGGCTGTCCAGTCTCTTCTTGAAAACACTCACAACGTCTGGAAGCAAGCTATTCCACTGGTTGATTGTTCTCACTCTCAGAAAATTCTTCTTCCTTCTAAGGTGGATTTCTCTTTAATGATTCCCCACCCCATTACTTCTTGTCCTCAGCCCCCCTTTCTCTATGACATAATAGCTAAGGGGCTGCCACAAAGAAGAGGGAGGGTCAAGGTATCCTCCAAAGCACCTGAAGGCAGGACAAGAAGCAACGGATGGAAACTAATCAAAGAGAGAAGCAACCTAGAACAGTGGTGGCAAACCTATGGCACGGGTGCCAGAGGCGGCACCCAGAGCCCTCTCTGTGGGCACGCGTGCTGTCGCCCCAGTCCTAGGCCTTCAGCTGGGTTTTATAAAACCTTTTCGCTGCCGTGTGCAAAAAAAAAAAAGTTCAATTTCAACTTCTCGCGGGAAAAAAAAGATCTTGCAAAGTTGGAATTGATTGATTGAACTTTTTAGTCCCACCCAGTCTGCCGTGACCACCGCAGCCACGCCCACCCAGTGGGCCATGCCCACCCAATTGGCCATACCCAACCAATGGGCCACACCCAACCAATGGGCCACACCCACCCGGCACTCAACGATGCATAAGTGAGTTTTGAGTTGCAGTTTGGGCACTCAGTCTCTAAAAGGTTCACCATCACTGACCTAGAACTTAGGAGAAATTTCCTGACAGTGGGAACCATTAACCAGTGGAACAAGTTGCCTCCAGAAGTTGTGGGTGCTCCAACACTGTAAGTTTTTAAGAAGAGACTGGACAGCCATTTGTCTGAAATGGTATAGGGTTTCCTGCTGGAGCAGGGGGTTGGATTAGATGCCCTCCAAGGTCCCTTCCAACTCTGCTATTCTGTTATCATATCCCCCCAATCCTTCTCTTCCATAGGCTAGCCCAGGGGTCTTCAAAGTTGGCCTTTTATGACGTGGACTTCAACTCCCAGAATTCCTCAACCAGGCACGCTGGCTGAGGAATTCTGGGAGTTGAAGTCCACAAGTCATAAAAGGGCCCAGTTTGAAGACCCCTGCGCTAGACATATGTAGCTCCCTCAAACCATTCATCCTATGATTTAACGATTTGATTTACAATTTAAGGACCAGAGCACTCCAAAGCTTCCCTCAGCCAAATACTAGTGGCTGCTGTCCCCAACTTGGAAACTCTGAAAAGCTGCTTTAAGTTAGTGGATCACTGCCTCCCTGGATGGATCTCTGAGAAGGCCCCACGAAGTTTTGCAAGCCACCGAGTCCCTCGTTGGCCAGAGGCCATGCCTGCCGAACGCCCCCCCCCCCAGAATTGCTGAGAAAAATCCCGCTGGGAACAAGGCGCCTTGCATCCACATGGCCTGATTGCCAATTGTGCCCTGCAGCAGCAGCAGCGGCTGTCAAAAAATGAAGTAAAATAAAATAAAGTAAAATAAAAACGACAGGCAGGCGGCCAAACCATTATTAAACCCTCCCGAGAGGGACGAGCCGCTTCTCCCTTACCCCACACACCAAGTTTGCGACCCGGGTGCCATTTGTGGGGACGGGCCCCCAAGCCTTTCTGAAAAATCTCCAACCCCCCCCCAATGTCATGTTGCTAGCACATTGCACCCAGCATGACTTATGGGGGCCCTCGGACCGCACACATGTGCGATGAGGTGGCCTCTGGGC